CTTTGTTCTGAATGTTTTGCTTTATTCAATATTCTGTTTTGGTTGGTTTTATTCTGTTTTGTTTTTGGTTTGATTTTGCTATACTGATGGAATGGACAACTATTATGAAGGTAACAAGATATACTATAGTAGCTATTACTGTTTTCCTAGTATCCTGCTTTGAAGTTCTGTGCCAATTTTGCTGCTTTGTTTTGTTTGGCCTTGTTCTGTTTTATTTTGCTGCATTTTACTATCTTTAAAATTAAAAAAGAAAAAAAAAGGAAACCTCCTTCAAAAAGACTTTTATACTAACTGCTATATCCCAGCAACATGTGGCCATATCCTTCAAAATTTCTACTTTTGCTAATTAAGAATATGCTACCTCTAGGGAAAATATATACGTACGTATATATATATATATATGTATTTTTTTTTCAGGGTTACAACTTGTACAATTTCAACTAATTTCTAAATTCAATCCCTCAGTGACAAATGAACTGGGAAAGCACTCTAATAAGGAACCTGTACTAAGGAACCCACAAGTCTCTCACAAGGATAAACAAAGTAAGTTTCTAGCATTTGAAAATCAATAGGCAAGATGAATGAAGAGAAAAGGAGTAAGTGAAGCAAGTAATGGATGGAGATGAAAGTGTGAAACACCTTTCTACTATCAGGAAGTTTGGCCTAAGCAGCTAGCGACCTTTTTAGATTCTCTCAGAGCTCATTTTCATTGAACCAGGCAACAGTATTTTTTAAATTATCTTAGACCTGTTTGATCCTATTTAGGCAACAGGAATCAAACATGATAAGAAGCATAGCATGATCATACGAACAATGAAATAACATAAACTACAATAAAGCCATGTCAAACATTAGTACTGCTGCCAAACTGACATGAGAAGTGAAGACTGACACATTTTCTAACTAAAAAAAAAAGACTTTAATGAACAGAAGAAGAAAATTACTGACATCAACTTTTCCCTTTTTTCTGACTTAAGTCTGGATTTCATTAGTAACAGTAATAAAAAGATTATGCTTTCCATCTCGTATTCTTAGGGGTGGTCATACTATATAATTCTAGTCAGTTGGGGTCACTGGCTTTAGCTCTGAGGAGCTCTTTAAAAGGACTCATATAAATGTTCCTTTCTTATCACACTTATTATTACCTGTAACATGAAAATGACACTGAGACAGATCAATTATCTTAAGATTTTGGGGTGAGAGTCAAATGTTAAAAAGTTAAAAGGAACTGAGGCTTCTAATGATATCTAGCAGTAATCATGCCAGGTGCCTTCTGTCACCAGCAGCCACCATTTTCCAAGTTTGATGCTAACTGTTGAACATAATCCCTGAAACCTTGGACAGCTGCTTTCAAGAGGAGAAATAAGCAATAAAATTCATATCCCTTAACTATCCAGACCTACTTAAATGTATCTAATAACAAGAACCTCATTAACTTAAAGCCGTATCATTTAAATGATAAATAACAGTAATAGTCTTACACACAGCAGAAGTCAATCTTCCCTATAACTTCTAACCAGTCCAGAAAGGAAAATTATTTTTTTATAATAGTAAAACAGATTATTTTCATCTTTGTAGCCCCAATAATGCTTTGGAAAATGCTAATGAATGGTTAAAAATATTCTTTTTTGAGGCAAGATTTCACTGTATGATGCAGGCTGGCCTTGCGCTCATTTTATAGCCCAGGCTGGCCTAGATCTTGCAGTGATTTTCCTGCCTCAGCCTCCTGAGTTCTGGGATTACAGGCATATACCAAATCCTGCTTAAAAATATTCTTTAATACATCTAGACTCTTACTTTCTCACATTTTAGCATCTGAAATTAGAGTACATCTTTAACGTATAGCACATAACAGATGAAATGGCAGTTTTAGTTAAAATACATGTGAATGATACATCTTATAATTGAGATTTGAATTTTGGAAGACTGGCTTTTCTCTTATTACTAATGGGTCTCTAAATGGAATAATCTTAGTACTCATTTAGTAGGTGAAACACTGGGAATAAAGAATACAACAGCTACTCTGCAGAGAATCTGACAGTGAATCTAGTTAAACTAAATATATATATTCACATATACGTGTGTATGTCAAAGAATGCTCACAGATCCAGCAGGGAAATGTCTAAAGAAAGCCAATCCTACACTGTGGCAGCAGAAGTTAGGGGCAACATATGTGGCCTATCATTGTGGAAGTGCATAGATGGATTGGTAGACACACAGACAGAACTGCTAAGAACTGAAATCAAAGGAATAGAGTATGTATAATAATCTGCATGATTTCTTAAAATAGCTGAAAAGGAATAGAGGGTAGTTCAGTGGTAAAGTGCCTGTCCAGCACATGCAAAGCCTTACTGCCCCCCAAAACAAAACAAAACAAAAAACCAACAAATTATTGAATACAAAAAAGAAATAAAGAATAAAAACAGAATATATCTTACACTTTTGTAAAGAAAAATTTAAAACATCCATTCTCAAAAATACACATGAACAAAAGGATAAACATTAAAATAGTTGCATAGGGTGAGAAAAAGGAAAAGGAGCTATGGAAATAAAGAAGATAAATACACCAAAAGGAAACAATGGCCTTACTAGAATCAACGATTATTTTGTATCATCAGCTCAGTAATATGACTAATTTAGTCTTCTATACTTGTAGTCTAACTAGAAAACTACTCCAAAAACTATTAAGCACTGGGGGAGGGAATGTACAAAAAGCAACAAAGTAGTGTTAACAAGTACAGTTAAAAGTATACTGTTTATAATTAACCATAACAACGTAAGTATATTTTACAATACATAAGATGTCTATGACCTTACATTGACTAATTTAAGCTTTCCGACAATCCTCTGAAGTAAATACAGTATACCATTATTATTTTATATGCTATCAAGGAATTTAAAAAGTGAAGGAATTTGCCTACGGCAACAGGTAAGGCTGAAACTCAATTCCACAGTTTGTAACTTGAACTGTAACTGTGATCTGTTACACTAGACAGCCTGACATGAATCTGTCCTCATTTCTATAATGTAAAACCTAAAAATAAGAAAAACTATTGATAATCAAGTACCTTACAAATGGAAAACAAAAGAGGCCAAAGAAAATGTAGCTCTGGATGTAGTAAATACAGCATTCATTACAATTTGTGTCTACATGCTAAGCCTCAAATGGTCATGGGGGACATAGAGTTTTTCAGAGGCAGCTGGATCTAAGAGTGTGTGATTACTAAATCAGTCCACTGATTAGTCTGGCATAGCTCTGGCTAAGATTCATAAGGTGAGTACCCATCCTAGGGCAGGGAGTCCATAGAAAATATAAGGAACAGAAAGAGGGCTAATGTGTTCTCACCTGCCTATTTGCCATGGACTGTTTCTTATCTGCCATGCCAACCTTGCCTTGGAGCCAGCAGACTATGGACTGAAACCTCTACAAACTGTGAGCCAAATAAACCTTTCTCCTTTAACTTTGGATGCTGGGTATTTTGTCTTAGTAAAAAGAAAAGTAAGACAGCACTTAACCACTTACCAGTCCAATTATTTAAATACAGGATGACCAAAAATTACATATTTTTTCATTAGTTTTTATATTGTAACAGGAAATATAAAAACAATTTTATTGAATTTATTCAATGCAAGGATTGACAGGTTGAAATGACATCTGCCTGAGAGATATTTGGGATAGTCAGCATGTAAATAAACATGCTGCCTAAGTGACACATGGGGTAAACTGTTATATGGTTAATGAAATATTTGTTTACTGGGCAAGTAAATTATTGAATGGGCTATATTAACTCAGGTCTTTTTCAATAAGTTGCATTAAAGGAAATCTTGAGAAGTAGAGATGAATAGTTATGGCGCAAAAGTAACATGAGAAAAGTAAGAGGGAGAGGAAACTAGAGGATCCATTGATATCGTACCAAGTGCTCGAATCTAGGGAGGTAACAGTGTAGGACATCTAAAAGCAAATGTTTAGATATTCACTTTTGCAGAGTATAGGCTTCAGATTTTTAGATCTGAATCCTAACTGGTACCCTCATTTCCATCTGAATGGCCTTGGGTTTGCCATTAACTGGGGTTTTGTTTCACCAAGAGCAAAACAGGGATTGGTCATTCATTTATGTTTTAGACGCTAGAGACACACCAGCAGAACAAATATGTCCCTGCCCTCCTAGTCTGCTAAAAGAGACAATACCTCCCCGCAAAGTCAAGTAGGCCTACAGAAATATACTATCTAATATACTATCTAATCCTTCTTAGGGTTAGTGAAAGCTTTACCAGATTTCACAAAAACTGCTCTCTAAATAATCACATATGGCCAAAAAAAAAGAAAAGAAAAGAATGACTAGGACAGCGATGCTGAACCTGTTAGATACTGAGTGCCAAAACTGTAATCCAAAATCCACATATCTATCACAAACTACTAACAATGGCTGCAAAGGCAATGCAGGACTTGGCTCCCGGGCTGACAGCGCACTCTGTGTGCCACTGTAGCACACAAGCCACAGGTTTGCCACCAGTAGACTAGGACAACCTTTTATTTGGATGGCAAGTATCACTAATATGAAGACTATGGTACATAAATTTATGACTTCTAATATGTAACAGTAACTATCCAAAAAAAAAATAAAGAAAAAAGACAGTAATCAGCAAATAGGTACTAACCAAATTTCTAGGGCAAAGGACAATATAGAATGAATAATGTAATTATGATCTTTATTTTTCTTGTCAAACTAATCATATCAGGATCAGTGAAGCAGACAACAATTTGGACAGAAATTATACCTAAGAAAATCTATACCTCATACAGTACTATAAGTTAAAAACTAAGCCTACAGAATTCACTCCTTTTCATATTTAAATAACTGTACCTTTCAAAGTATTAAAAGGCTGTGCTGGACTAAGTTTACTTTTATTTATCTAAAGCTTAAAGAAAATATGTAATTCTAATCTGTGGCTTAAAGAAAATCAAGCATATAAGTAACAAAATTTATGCTTGCTCTTACCTTTGTAAGATAATCCACTTTCAAATTGTCGATCATCATATTTTTCTGAGATAACTCTATTTTCAGCAACTGAATATTATGAAGCAGTTCTTTTCGTTCAATTAGCTGCCTGGTGATTTTGACTTTACCTTCTCGCTCTTCAGATGAGGAAATATCATCTGTAGGAATTGTTGTTTCTAAACTAATATCTTCAGATTCCAGAGAACTAGAGATGTTCACTTTTTTTGATTCTTTAGAAATTTTTCGAGACATCTTTTACTATTATGGGTCAGTTTTTCTCTACTTGACCTCCTGTAGATTAAAAATTATTAACTTAAATATACTGAGACACTAATAGAAAGCAAAGAATATTGAGATACTAGAGATACCCTAAGTAACAATTTGGAGAATTTCAAATCTAAGACAGGTTACTACGGTAAATTATAGCTCAAATAAAACACTGATTCATTCACTGCTACCGTCAACCTAGCCCTTACTGTTTTCCAGGGCTAGAGATGGAACCCAGGGCCGAGAGTACTCTAGGCAAACGCACTGGGTACTGAGTTACATCCTCAGGCCCCCGAACTCGGGCCCTCAGGACATTTTTTAAAAAGTTCCTGATGTAAAAATCTTAGAAGACACAAAAAATGTAAGACATAAAGGTCAGAGCCCATTAATACCCAAAAATGCACATAAAAGACAACACAAACTTGGAGACATCACTTGAGTTAGATTAAGGTTATACAGAAGTAGGACTTAAAATCTTGGAAGGTTTTAAACAGGGGTAGTAAAAAGGAAACCATGCAGGTACTAGGGTTGCTATAGCGCTAACAGCGAGAAAACAACAGCTGTAGCAAATCTTTAATTAGAATAGTGACTTTCCCAGACCTTCTCCCCTCCAACACTTAAGTGTCAGAACTGGATGGCCTTAAACACGAGGCATCATTGAAGGCTTTTTTTTTTTTTTCTTAATGAGGAAGCACTGAGACAAAGGCAGTTTTGATAGACTAGCTAGATCGCAGAAAAAAGGAAAAGCTCGGCTAAAGCCTCAGGATTTCACAAGAATGTTAGCGCCCCCGTTATCTATGTGATATGGTAAATTATGGTATTTTCTGGTGTTTTCTTCATAGTTAAAGAGGTGTATGGGGAGGAAAGGTCGGTTTCCGTTTTAGAGGAGTTAACGGGGGCGAACGATCACAAGGGCTCAGAACCTGGGCTGTTCACAGTACCGGTGTGAACACTAAGTCCCAAACTTGGCCACAAAGAGGATCCCTCGCCCCGCGCGGAAAAGACAGGGAGACACCCGCAAGCTACCTCCAAAGCTTCAAGGCTGGACATCCAAAGCTGGACCCACCACCACCTCACACACCTAGGGGACGCAAAGGCGTAGCCAGTCAGTCGCTCTGGTGGCCGTCCCTCCCCTCGCAGGGTCGGGGAACATTAGCAGCCGTAACCAAAACAACCACCCAGCACCCCACGAGAACTTGAGGCGTGCACATAAGGCCACTAACACCTAGGCCGCCAATATCCTCGCAGGCGCGGGAAGCGGTGCAGGCTGGGAGCTCGAGTCAGACGCGGGCTCCGCCTAGCCGAGGGCGGAAATGACGTCACTTCGCTCCTTGCTCTCGCCCAATCCTCGAGGCCGGCGGAGGGCCAACTAACTTCAGGATTAGCGTTTTCCGGAATGCGGTTCCCGCTAGAATCTAGTGAAGAACTGAGCCCTGGAGCGGGACATAGTTGCGCCGCAAGCTTGCTGTGGGGGACTGGAGTTCTCTACTGATCGCGAGGCAAGATGCTTAAGTCCAAGACGTTCTTAAAGAAGACCCGGACAGGCGGCGTGATGAAGATCGTGCGCGAGCACTACCTGCGAGATGACATCGGCTGCGGGGCTCCCGGGTGCGCGGAGTGTGGCGGGGCGCACGGGGAGCCGGCGCTAGAGCCGCAGCCCCAAGACCAGGCGAGCAGCCTCTGGCCGCGGCCGCACTACCTGCTGCCCGACACCAACGTGTTGCTGCACCAGGTGCGTCGGCTGGCAGGCATGTGGCAGATAGGGAAGCTGAGAGCTGGAGAGTTGGGTGTGTGCGACAGTGTCACAAACTTAGAGGCACGCCCCATCAGGATCTGCTCTTACTCTCTCCCAGGCCGAGGCTTTTTTTCTTGTGCTTTTTAATTTTTTTTTTTCCTTAACCCCCTTCAGTTTTGGACTTTTAAGTAATTTTAGACAGGTTCATTTTCTAACTCCTGGTGTCTCTTCTGCCTTAGATTATAAGTGCCTGGAAGCCGAAGACCTGGGCTTCTGAGGCTTTCAGCTTGCGACCCCCAGGCAGCTTGTAAGTGCCTACGTACAAAAACTGTGGGCCACATATTTCTTTATGAACAACCGTAATGCTACGAATTCAGTTTCTTTCTGTGTGCTCTTACTGGTTAGGCCTGAAGGGTTAAGTGACTATTGTCACTTTTTGTATAGCAGAATAACTCCATGGCTTTATATATAGTATTTTTAAACTGATAGTTTTATATTTGAAAGAATTTCTAAATGAACGTGGGGAAAGAGTAACTTTTTTTTTCTTTTTAAGATTGATGTACTCGAGGACCCTGCCATCAGGAATGTAATTGTGCTACAGACGGTTCTCCAAGAAGTGAGAAATCGGAGTGCCCCTGTATATAAAAGAATTCGGGATGTGACTAATAACCTAGAAAAGCATTTTTATACATTCACTAATGAGCACCATAGGTAAGAGAAGAAATATAAAGTATTACAAAATCATAAGTGTCTAAATTTGACAGAAGATTCTTAGGAGTAATTTGTGACATTATTGAAAAAAACCATAGTGCTCAATGAATCTTACTAAGATCACCTAGGCTTTGGGGAGATCAAACCTAAAACCAAGATGTATTGACTCTTAGGCTCTAGTGCCAGTTACTTTTATTTCCATAGTGTATTCATTTTAAATTGGTTTTAGCATGTGATCAACAATAGATTTGCAAGATAAGTGTAGCTTGGAATACTGTATTATATGTATATCATAGGGTAATACAATAAGGCATATGAGTTTGTGAAGGAAAGATTTAAAAAATATGAATCAGATTTATTCTTAACGGGCTGTAAATTTGTTAAATGGATCCGTTACAACTGAATCACACTGAAGATTAGATTAAGAAATAGATTTTTTTTTTTTTTTTTTTGAGACAGCGTCTTGCTAAGTAGTTCAGACAGGCCTTGAACTCACTATGTAGCGGAGGCTGGCCTCCAATTTTGGTAATCCCAAATGCTGGAAATACAGATGTGAGTCACCATGCCCGGATTTCTGTTTTTTTAGTTTTTTGTTTGTTAGGCTGAAGACCTTTGAACTCAGTATGTAGTCTTAAAAAAATATGATACTGCCTATTTCTGATCTTACATTAATAATCTGTGATGGGTGTCTGATACTTTATCAGTTCTTCAGCCTTGACACTGTTGATGTCTTGGGCTGGGTAATGCTTGTTGTGGGCAAGCTGTTGTGCGTATTATAGGATGTTTTAACAGCATCCCCATTTTCTACTCACTACATGACTAGTCTTTCCCTTCTGCTACCATCAGTGAGTTGTAACATGTAGCGTTTCCAGACATTGCTCTGTGGTCCCCTGCTTGGGGGAGAGGGTGGTGCTGCAAATTCAACCCCTGATTGAGAACAACCAGGTTAGACTTTTGGTTGTGTTAATGAATCCCATCAGATTGTGCACATTAAAAAAAATGATTTCTTAAATTTCTTACAGCATGAAAGTAAATATTGCTCTTATAAAGAACACTAATACAGATTTTTATGCATGTATCTTTTTGGTAGTGGTAACAGGAAAATTACTTGCTTTTCAGTTCCATAGACCAAGTTTTGGTTGAATGTGTTCATCAGATTCCTACTTTGGTTAGTAATTTTGTTCATTCAAGTTATTGTAAATAGGCTCTAGTACTAGGGTTTATGAAAGACTCTTAGGACAATAACAAATCTCATCTAAGGTTTTTTTTTTACTCGTCATCAAAGTTAAATTCAAACTTATCATGTCTTTCACTGATAAACTTAAAGCATTAGCAAGTACATTTAATGGTAGAGAATAAAACAATTCTTAAAATCTATGAAGTAAGTGTAAAATTGAATGTTTTTATAGACACCAGAGGCTATTGCACTGAATTTTGTTAGTGTGCTTAAATCTGGATTTGAAGAGCAAAAAGAAATGAGTAACGCAGTCCTGATTCAGAGTGGGTAGTCTTAGAAGGAGCAAGAAGTCTCAAGTATATCTGATCTTTCCGTCTCTAGTCTTTGCCTTTTGTTGAATGTTTACCATGAATAATTTATGATGAGGAATGTGTGTTAGTTCATAGTTTGAATAAAGTGTTGTCTCACCTACCAAGTTCATTAGTTTGTTTCAGTAAACTATTTAATGCCCCATCATGAAGTATAAATTCTGATCTTAAATTTTTCTTTTTGTGATATACAATTGTATCACACTTTTTATTTATACATAATTTTTTCTTTTCCAAGCAAATTGTTGTTTTAAAACCTTACCTATAAATATCCCATGTATTTTTTCTCTGATATGTAACTCTGCACAATCAAAGTAAAACAGATACGTACTGACTTTTCATTTTCTTGGCTTTCATAATTCACTTTCAGTTTCAGTGTCTGAAAAGTTCTTATATGTTTCTGTTGATTTCTTTTTATTTTTCCCTTACATATAGAGAGACCTATGTGGAACAAGAACAGGGAGAAAATGCTAATGACAGAAATGATAGAGCCATTCGAGTGGCAGCAAAATGGTACAATGAACATCTGAACAAAATGTCAGCAGAAAATCAGCTACAAGTTATCTTCATAACAAATGACCGCAAAAACAAAGAGAAAGCTGTGGAAGAAGGAATACCAGCATTCACATGTAAGCCTAAATGTAGATGCATTTACTGATGTTTGGAAGTTCATAAAAAAATTATGATCAGACGAGACACTTGAATTTATTAAGAACAATATTAACTTATTTTTCAGGTGAAGAATATATAAAGAGCTTGACTGCTAATCCTGAACTCATAGATCGTCTTGCTTGTTTGTCTGAAGACGGGGTATGTGTCAGTTTGATCTGTTTTGAAAAGTAAAAATACTAAAATAGCTACCTTTGAATGTGAGACTTATAGCTGCTAGGTTTAAAAATTGAAATATCAATAAATTGGAATTGAAGTAGGTATTGGGTTATAGACAACAGCCCGTATTATTAGGTTTATTAACATGCCATTCCTAAATGAATTAATTTTCTAAAATAAGGACTGTCATATGGTGGCTCTGTTTTTGTTGACAAAATGAGTGGACCCTGTGGCAGATTTGTGAATAAGTAATATGTGTTTGAGAGGCAGTGCAGACAGTATACAGTTCAAAGGGAGGGGAATCAGAAAAAAAAATAGAGTGGAAGAAACGGTGCTGGATAATGACCTAGAATTTCTTCAGTACATCAGTAATCCTTCAAGTGTCTCACAAGATGTCTGTAAAAGTCTGCCCCAAGGGGAAGAGAACAGGTGGGATTCTGACCTCCCTGTTTCATGTGGCAGAATTAGAGAAATTCAGGCTATATGAGAATATGGACAGGGAGCGTTCTGGGGTTAATGTGTAAGAACACTAATGTCATTATAAAAGACACTACATTGTTGCCTACAGCAAGATTACAGGCAGAGAGGTGAGTAAAGAGGTCCCTGCAGCAGTCAATGTGAGGGACGTTGTAAAAGCACTAGTCAGACTCAGCCCTCATTTTCTTTTCATATAAAGTGTATTTAGCAATAATGATTTCCTAGCATTGTGAAGAGAATTAAATGAGATAATGCTAAATTATTAGAAATTTTTATCTCAATGCCTGGCATGAAGTTACAGTGAATTTAAATGGTAGCTATTATTGTAGGATAGTGTCTTTATGACATTTCTCCCATCCCTTATCTGTAGCTACTTTACAAAACTAAAATGAAATGAGAAGATAAAAGTTGGACTTGAATTTTGGGTTACTCTACAGATTTAGGATTGCCCTGTGTATTATGTAGTCACTAGTTGCATATGAATGTTTAAATTATAAAATTCAGCTTCCTCAGTTGGTACTCGTCATCTATAGATTGTTTAAGAGAAAATTGTATCTTACGGCCATTGTGTTAGATCTTGCAAAGAAGATCCCCTTCTTGAGAGAAGTTTTTCATATATACTATAATGTGGATTTTGAAAAGTTACCTGGTAGTAATGATAGTTCTATACTGAATGAACAGAGACGTACTGACTACATCTTTTGGTTTGCTTATTTCATAGAAAGAAATAGAAAGTGGGAAAATAATATTTTCAGAGCATCTTCCCTTAAGTAAGCTACAACAAGGTGTAAAATCTGGTATTTACCTTCAAGGAACATTTAGAGCTAGCAGAGAAAATTACTTAGAAGCTACAGTGTGGATTCATGGAGACACTGAAGAAAATAAAGAGGTAAGTATGTAAATTTTTATTCACTGACATAAGTGTATTTTATACACTAAGTATTTAAAATTTTCTATGGTAATTTTTTTGCTTTACAGTCCTAATTTATAT